TCTGTATAGGGTATAGCAGGGGTCTCCAAACTGTGGCCCAGGGGCCAGATGCCATTTTAATTCCACCAAAGCCACATAAAAATATATTAAAATTGGCCGAAACCCATTATAGTTTCTGTTTAAAAAGTTTTCCCATACTAACAACGCCATTTGATGTCCTGTTGGGTTTATCATTGACAGAGAACTGAATAAAGATGCTCCGGATCCCTCCTGCCTGTGCTTCATTGGCTCTGCGAAGGTGGTCACCTCTATCACGGTGCATGCAGCGTCTGGGCTGTCAGTACCTGGAAGTAGTGGTAAGTGTCTGGGCATTATACCTTTTATTCATGGGTAGGTGTTAGTTCTTTGTTATGGACAACCAACCAAGCAAAATAGGGACCCAAAAATGTTATGCACACATTACCTACAAATATCAGATTGCACATGACAAGCGTACACTAATTTACAATTGTGTTGTATTAAAAACACTTTACAAATGAATGATCGTTAAACACAATCTTAAAAAGGAATGATCATTAAAGCCCAACTCCGGACAAAAAAAAGTTTTCCCATGAAGTCGGGCTGTTGTGGGTCAACTGCTCGTTTTGTCTAGGGGTGAGGAGAAAGCTTATACTCGCCCGATCCTTCGTTCCACTGGAAAATGGCACTCCCCCGTGGTCTACCGGTGGACTGTTTGTGGTCTATGGAGCCTGCTCTGGGCTTGATGTCAGGAACAGTCCACAACTCAAGACTGCTGGAATACGGGGGTGTTGGACCAGTCTTGTGCTGGGAGGATTGGAAGATTAGGTATGTTTTTAACTCCTTGCTCCTTTCCCCTAGAAAAAAAACCAAGTAGTTAAACCAGGCAGTGTAGGCATAGCCCCACTGCGTATGCCCATTTTTACCCAGAGATGGGCTTTAAAACTGGAAACAATGCCAAGACATTTTGGTATTCCACTGTAGAGAAAGGGACCTCATCTGACCCATGCCAGCAATGCCACACCAGCAATTCACAACCCACCACCACACCCGGCACTCTTTTGAACCCGTCACTAGCATGTAATGGAGAGACCACCATGTTTTGGAGGCCGCCATGGCTCTTGTAAGAGAAAGCTGCAAATAATTACAAGAGACTGGTGGATGATATGAGAGACTTGGTAAAGGATAAGTTCACCTTTAAAATAAATAAATAAATGCACATTTTTTTTGCAGGTAAAAAATGTGCATTTATTGCATTTTCCCAAGGAGCCTGCAGAGCATTGCAACTATGAACAGCATATCACAGGTGCAATGTCCAGCTCCTGCAGACTCTCAGCATAGCTGTCTGCCCCAGACATTTACCTGACAGCAGTAAGAATCAATGAAAAAGGAGGGGAGGTGTGCACTAGAGGAGCAAATATTGCCAACAATCATACAATCGAGACATAAAATATAATATAAGCCCATCAATTGTCCATAGTATAAATAATGTATGGGCACCAGTAGCAGCTACCTCCAGAGTGAAGGCAAGGCTCTGTAAGCTGTATGAGAAAAGGACACAGAGGGGTGCCAGCAGGGGGCGGACTGACCATTTGGAAAGCTGTATGGGGCCCCTTGATTTCAAAAAGCAGCCCTGGGTGCAAAAGATAGAATAAGCCAGAGAGAGAGACAATGGTGATGGGGTACATGCAGGGGCGCACTGACCATTTGGAAACTCGGGCACTGCCCGAGGGCCCAGGGTCAGTAGGGGGCCCCATAAGATGCCCCTGGTACCTTTTTCATAGGCTTTTTTGAGTTTGGCCAAGGACACAGGGGCCCCATGATCCCCTCTTGCCCGGGGGCCTCATGAGTTGTCAGTCCGCCCCTGCTTGTGGTGCTCTCTGTCTCTCCACATTACAGGAAGTGATAAGGGACCCCCCCCCCCCAGTGTGTACACAGACAAAAGAAAAAGCAGAGTAGATAGGGTTAGAACTTTTGAAAATATTGGACTTTTTATTGCTGTCTGTGCCTGGTGTGAAATCTCTGACCTGACCTGGTGTCACAGGGAGAGGAAGTGAGGGAGAATCTCCACGATGTGGTCACATACAGAAATATGTACCTGACCACAATATTTTTTCCTCCCCACAATATCCAAAATTGAAAATAATATATCTGGTTGGACTTAAGATTTTATTTATTCATGCAGAATTCTTTTTATGCTAGATCCTTCTGTCTATGTGACGATTCACTGCGAGGGTCAGAAGGTGTCATCGCGGACAGTGAAAGGACGTAACCCGGAGTTTGACTTGAAGGCCATATTTTACCGCAAACGAGAGAAAAAGCCGATTGTTGTACAGGTAAGGATGGTCATTCTAAAGCAGGGGCGGACTGACCACTCGAGCACTCGGGCACTGCCCGAGGGCCCGGGGTCAGTAGGGGGCCCCATGAGAGGCCCCTGGTACCTTTTTCATAGGCTTTTTTGAGTTTGGGCAAGGACACAGGGGCCCCATGATCCCCTATTGCCCGGGGGCCCCATGAGTTGTCAGTCCGCCCCTGTTCTAAAGGCAAGAAGACTCTGCGGCAGAATCTGAACATTGACTCGCTCACATTTCAAAGGTCTTTTTGAAGCTACTGAGATGCCAAGTTGAAATAAAATGCGGTCCAGGTACTTAAGGTGGGAATACACGATTAGAATATCGACCGATCGGTCATCCGACGACCGAGAGGCGTTCGTTCGTTGGTCGAAATCATGGCCGACATTAACCAATCTAAAAAATTAATTCGTCGGGCAATACGTAGCGTTGACGTCTTCCGTACAAGTGGAAGTGATGCGGTGTGCGTGTGACCTTGTAGCCACGCCCTTCCGGCCAGAACGAGCGATATACACAACAATTCCCAGCAATGAGTATAATATCGTTTATTACATGACCTATATACATAAATAGTGATACATAAAATATAATCTGCAGAATTCTGGTTTCATCATCTCATTGGGCCAATCTACTTGTAACATTTGGATTTTTCGTTCGTGTTTACGAAGATTCCTTGGACATAAACATCCGGGTCATCTTCTGTGTCCGCTCATGCTGATAGCGCTTGATAGATTTTTTTTTTTACGACCGTCATACCACCGCATAGAAAATCTGTTGTTCGTATGCAAAACAACAACATTTTTCACTGTTGTTCAACCGGATTTTTTATGTTCACAATATCGTTATCGGTTAAAACATCCTGCTCCTTGGACATAAACATCCGGGTCATCTTCTGTTTCCGCTCATGCGTGATAGCGCTTGATAGATTTTTTTTCGTAGGACCGTCATACCACTGCATAGAAAATCGGTCGTTCGTATGCAAAACGACAACATTTTTCCCTGTTGTTCAACTGGATTTTTTCGTTCACAATATCGTTATCGGCTAAAACATCCTGCTCATCAACGAAGAGAAAATCGTTCAATCAGGGGTTCCGCAAATTTTTTCATACGATTTTCTTATCTTGTGTACGGGGCATTAGGGTGTATTGCTAGAAGGCATGGGGTCAGCATTGTAGCAATTCTCATAGTAAATGTGCATCTACATTTGTTCTATGCAAACAGGACAAAAAACAAATGTTGTTATTATTTATTATTATACAGTATTTATATAGCGCCAAAAGGTTTGCTCAGCGCTGTACATTATAGTGAGGGACAGTACATGAGACAATACAGTAACAATACAATACACGAGGGGTTCGAGGGCCCTGCTCTTTTGAGCTTACAATCTAGGAGATGTTATAAGGCTATTTCCTGTGGTGGTTGAATGTTTGTTTTTGTTTTTTTTTTAATTGGTTTAAAGCTGAATTCTAGGAATGAAACATTAAACCACAGCTATGAGTCAAGTCCAGCAAGGTGCATGACACCTCCTGGACTTAGCTCCATTATTTATATCTAACAGCTTTACGGTACTCCTGGAAGACAGTAGTTCTGGGAGAGCGATGCTGATCCTTCTGACCTTGAACAGGAGAATTAGAGCTGCTATGCCCGCTCCTCATCTCCTCCTGCCCATTCACAGAAGCCTTTGTATTATGTAAACACATTCACAAAATACAAAGGCTTCTCTGAATGGGCAGCAGATGGTGGGCATAGCTGCTTTGTGTGCCTTTTCTCCTCTCTCACATCCCAGAGTGTCTCTAATTCCCAAAAGAGCATTTAACCTGTCGGATACAAATAATAGAGATAAGCCCAGGAGATGTTATGCAGCTCCTTGGACTTAACTCATAGTGTGCCTTCACTTTTTACACAGTCGCTGAACTCCTGGAATTCAGCCTTAAAACTGTAAACACCACTTATGGCCACTGGATGGCATGAAGTATCTAAGTAATTTGCTATGATACTTTGCACCATCCAGTGGCCAAATGCTGTATTTTCTCCTGTAAATAAATGAATGTTTGACCAGCACAGTAAATAGCCTAAAACATTCGTTTTTGGGTTTTTTTTTGGCCAATTCTAACAGAACAAATTTACATGTATGTTCACTGGGCAAAGTGCCATGCAATTTGTTTTATAAATACACCCCTTTGTGTTGCTTTAGCCGGCAATAGAGAGCTTGAATCTTGGCTGGTTCAGCAGGGACTGTCCGAGATTCAAACCATGTATGGGCAGGCTGATTGTACCAAAAGTTGATTGCCCAATCAACTTGCGTACAAACAACATTTCAGATTATGCAATTATTGCCAGCGGCTTTAGGCGCTAGCAGTGATCCCTATGTGCCCTCCTGGCAAGGATCGCTCCCGCACCCTTTTCACCCCTCCCCTTTTGGGAGAACAGAAGAGCTTAGTGGCAGGGATTCCTCCATCACAGGGCTTAAAATTTCAAGTCCTGAGCTACTAGCCAGGCCTTAAGAGTTACTTGCCACCAACAAACACACACAAACAGAGACACCTGTACACACACACAGACATGTACATACACACACACACAGAAACATGTACACACACGCACAGAGAAAACATGTGTACACACACACACACATACAGACACATGTATACACACACAGGCACGTACAAACACGCATACACACAGATACATGTACATACACAGAAATACACACGCACAGACACATGTACATACACAAATACACATGTACATACATACACGCAGACACATACAGATACACACATGTACATACACACATACACATGTACATGCATACACACAAACACACACACGTACATGTACACACACACAGACACATGTACATACATACACACAAACACATGTACACACATACATACACGCAGACACGTACAGATACACACATGTACATACACACAGACACATGTACATGCATATACAGACACACATGTACACACACACCCCCTATAAAAAAGTTGCAGTACTTTGTTGTTCACTCACAGAGCCGGGTACTGCACTCTAGGGGGAGGCAGAGAGCACAGCACACACTCCTTTGCTTTCACTGCGCTCAGCTATTGAGCAGTCTGACGGCTCCCAGTGCCAATGACAGATCTGGCCTGAGCTCCGAGCCTGCTCAGCAAGACGGCCCTGAGGGACAAACTCGCCCCCACCATAATTTCCACTCGCTATTGGCGAGCAGGTGAGTGGAAATTTCAAGCCTTGCTCCATCAACAATGACTGTGTTGATGGGGGAATCGAGCAATTTTCTTTCCTGCAAACTGTGGTTGCTGGAAATAAAATTGCACCATCTATAGCCAGCTTTGATCCACGTGCAGGCAGCATCGAGTTGTCTTCAAGAAGAGTCCAATGGTAGCTGTACTGTAGTAACACCAATAGTATACTTCCTCTAACAGCATATCCTGATCTTAATCCTGTCAGTAATTTTAGAAGTCTGCACGGGTATATTCCCGACATGTCACCATATACGGGATCATTTTTCAGTTAAGCTCCACATTTTATCGATAAACCCTCCCCATTAGTTAGAGGTGGCCCTTTAAGTGTTCATAACACAAAAGGCGTTACATGAGCTTCCCAGTCACTGTGATGTCCTACTGACTCCTGATTTATTATTAGGTGACCAGGAGTGGTCGTTGATAGGTCGACCACAGTGCCAGAGGTGTCACTTCAGCAGCATCACAACGTGTGCGTGCATATGTGTGTGTGTCAGCACAGTGGCTGAATGCTTAGCACTTCCGCCTGGCAGTACTCGGGTCATTGGTTCAAATCCCAACCATGGTACCACCTGCCTGGAGTTTGCATGTTCTCCCTGTGCCTGCGTGGGTTTCCTCCGGGTACTCCAGTTTCCTCCTACACTCCAAAGACAAGCTGTTGGGTTAATTGGATCCTGTATAAATTGTCCCTAGTATGTGTATGTATGAATGTGAGTTAGGGACCTTAGATTGTACACCCCTTGAGGGTTAGGGACTGATGTGAATGTACAATATATATGTAAAGTGCTGCGTAAATACCTGAAATAAGTGGCAGCTATATAAGTAAAGCGGTCAGTGAAATAAGTGTGTGTATGTGGTGAGTACAACACCTACTTTATTTTTTATTAAACATTTTTTATGGTAATGCACTAGCATAAGACCCCCGGTCCATTTGAAGCAAGCGGTGGTTGTAGCATCGAGTCATCCCCAAGCGCAGGAGCATTTGTGACTTTGCCTAGGCTGACGTGATGAAATCATTCTGCTGCAGGCAGGGGGAAGGGATTTCTCAGTCTCCTCTCCCTTACATGTAAATTAATTGGTTTACGTGAAAGTTATAGCATTTACAAATGGCGGTATAGATACTGGATTTTTTTTTTTTAGTAATAATGGCAATCAGCGACTTATAGCGGGACTGCGGCGGGCATTTTGACACTGGGGGGGGGGGAACTGACTTATTGTCACTGACATCCCCAGTGACACCAATACAGTGATCAGTGCTAAGAAAAAGCACTGATGCTGTATTAATGGCACTGGGCAGGAAGGGGTTAACATGTGGGGCGATCAAAGGGTTAACTGTGTGCAGGGAGTTTATTACTAGGGGGCGGTGTGTTGGTGCTTCAGTGTAAGCACACTGCTCTGGATGGCTGTACTGTGCACAGCCAACCAGAGCAGTGTGCCTGAGCCAACAGGAAGGAGGGCTGTTGGTAAACAAAGCAGTCCTCCTCCCCGTCGTAGATCTTCGGTAATCACTGGGCACCGGCGGGTAATCGCCGGCTGCGACCCGGTGATTGACAGCCACGAATGACGGTTTGGGTAGAGCGCGGCTCATGTGCCCCCTACCCGAAAATGCAAAATCAGTATATCTGCTATAGGGCGGCGGGGGAAGCGGTTAATTGGCAGCCTGTTTTGTTTACAGTCAGCTGATGTCATAACTGATGAATCCTACATTGTTAAGGATGCAGCCGCCAGCTCCCTTAACGACCAGCTATTGTGCGATAAATTATCTCTTGAAAATATGCAGTAATTACCGCAATACTGATATTTTACCACAAGAGTTATTTACCGCAAAATTCTTAGTCAATTGCACATGCGCAAAAGATTTACCACATGCGTTCATTTGCCGCATTTTTTCAGTCGTTATTTAACTCTTAGTGAATTGAACCCTAAGTCACATGGTGAGAGTCTAGAGCAGGGGCTGATCTGTGTGTGACATTTGTGCACACGTCCTTTAACTGCACTGGCACCAGGATTTCCATGATTGTGCCATTATCTCAGCTGGCTTCTCAGTCCAGGATGGTGACCCTGGGTGATGCCTGGACAAAGATGGCTCCATCCTTCTGGAGAGAAAAGCAGATAAAGGTAATGTCAAAGGGGAGTACTGTGATCTCTATGAGAGGTAATGAATACCTGGAAGTGTTATATTTACACATTACTTAGCATGCATGCTGCTGTTCTGTCTCTCCAATCTAAGCACTGAAAGTGTGATCTCTGTAACTTACAGTTGTGATGAGATAGCGATAACTCCAATCTTAGTTGAATAACACAGGCAGTGACTCGATCAGATGACACCTTGTAGATCTTGTGAAGTTTATTCCATAAACTGCGAGAATCTTACAACAATGAACATCGGAGGTAGGTCAAAAGATCTACTTCATGACATGAGGCTTGAAGGCAAAGGCCTTACTGGGGAAAGGGGTGGCTATCTATACAGCATGAACTAAACCAAGGAAAGGGAGGAGCAGAGACAAAATACAGAGAACACTTAAAGGCATATGACAGTCATGTGAAACATGACACAAGCACTGAGCATGGAAAATATATCTGAATCTACACCTGCTTTACGTAAATATTGTAGTAGACGTCTGCTGGCCTTCTGACATCACCTTTCTGACCTGAGACACATGCAGATAATTCATTTTGACTTTTCTGGTCTTCATTCCTGTTTTGGGTCAGTGAAAGAAATTAATGAAGCCAGTGGTCAGCATGACAGCCAGGCAATCAACATTTTCAGACTTTCAGCAGTGGCAGCCTTCATCGATCTTTCATGATAGACTTTGAAGCTGGGTGATGAGTTGTGTCTTGTGTTCCAGGTATGGCAGTCTCGATGGATGAGGGACACCTTATTGGGCAAGGTGTCTGTTCCATGCCCCGCGGGAGAGACGAACCAGAGCTCAGTGCTGCGACTGCAGAGGAAAGACATGGCGTCAGTTGGATACATCATGGTCGAGAAATCGAGCAGCTCAGACCTGACTGCACTGTGACTTTTTCCTGCCTGCTGTCTCTCGGTCTCATTTGTGGTTGTCACCACCTCCTCTCTCTATACATCTCCCCCTCTTTCCTGTTCCATGTCACCTCCACTCTGCACGTCCTGCACACTTCACAGAAGCTTCACCATGGGGAGGATGCTGGTTATAATCACTCTTCTTCTCGGAGGAGCTTGTCCAGGTACGGACCCTGTGATGGGTGGCATGGGCAGTGGGGGGACAATGGCTGACCTCTGCCAACAGTGATGTTTCTTGATGTGTATCTAAAAAAGTGAAAACTTTTTGTTTATGTAGAGTGGGTTGGAGCTCTGACCAGTTTATTTTCTGCTGTCTTTGCCCCTGCTGGGAAGATTAAGGTTAATCTTCCCAGCAGGGGCAAAGACAGCAGAAAATAAACTGGTCAGAGCTCCAACCCACTCTACATAAACAAAAAGTTTTCTCTATTGGTCACCAGGATGGGAAATCCAAGACTTGTTTGGCTGATAGCTAAGACTTTGGAACCCAACCAGCCACCCAAGGTCCTCTGCCAACAGTGATGTTTCTTGACGTGTATCTAAAAGAGTTAAAACTTTTTGTTTATGTAGAGTGGGTTGGAGCTCTGACCAGTTTATTTTTCTGCTGTCTTTGCCCCTTCTGGGAAGATTAACCTCTATTGGTCACCAGGATGGGAAATCCAAAACTTGTTTGGCTGATAGCTAAGACTTTGGAACCCAACCAGCCACCCAAGGTCCACATATGCAGCCCTTTAGCACTTACTGTGTGTGTGTGTGTGTGTGTGGGGGGGGGGGGGGTGCTCAGTAAATGCCAAAAGGCTGCATGTGGCAGCACCAAATCACAGTCTGAAGGAAAAGTATTCTTTAGATCGCCTTCTAGTGGATAAATGGTCTGCTTTATTTCTATTGTAGCATTTTACATTTTTCTGTTGCGTCTCTTCTTGTTTCATTTTCTTCTTTTTTTGCATCTGATCTGTAATATTGGTTCTTGCTGAGACAAATGTCAATACAAGTCATTTTAAGGGAGCTGTTGTGAGTACAATGTGGAAGCATTGACTTGTAAAGGGTCTGTGATAGCAGTGATCTCTAGCAGTCTCCTAAAACATATTTCCAGTCAATGACGGTTTCTCATCTATCATGTTTGCAGTCTCTGACCATTTCCTGTAGTATATCTGCAGTCTTTAATTATCTCCTGTAGCATGTTTGCAGCCTCTGGCCATCTCATGTAGCACGTCTGCAGTCTTTAGCCATCTACTGTACCATGTCTACAGTCTCTGACCACTCACTTTGTAGCATGTTTACAGTCTCTGACCACATCTTGTAGCATGTTTACAGTCTCTGACCACACCTTGTAGCATGTTTACAGTCTCTGACCATCTTTGGTAGCATGCCTGTAGTCTCTGACCATCTTTGGTAGCATGCCTGTAGTCTCTGACCATCTTCTGTTGCATGTTCACAGTCTCTGACCATCTCATCTATCATGTTCGCAGTCTCTGATCATCTCATGCAGCGTGTATGCAGTCTCTGACCATCTCTTGTGGCATGCTCATAGTCATCTTGTAGCATGTTTACATTCTCTGACCATCTCTGGTAGCATGCCTGTAGTCTCTGACCATCTTCTGTTGCATGTTCAGTCTCTGACCATCTCATCTATCATGTTCACAGTCTCTGATCATCTCATGTAGCGTGTCTGCAGTCTCTGACCATTTCTTGTGGCATGCTCATAGTCACTGATCATCTACTGTAGCATGTTTGGAGTCTATGATCATCTTCTATAGCATGTCTACAGTCTCCAACAGTTTTCTGTAACAATACACCAGCACTAAATATTATGTGCAGACCTTTGGTGATGTCAAGGGCCATCCTTGAGGCCTCCTGTATCTAGTATATTGACCACCACTGGCCTATGGGGCTTTCCATCATTTTGTGAAATTTCCTCTCACTCCTTCACAGGAAGGGAAATCTTCCCAGTGGGGACACA